AGCTGTCTGGGCTAAATGAGTTTAATAATGTCAGAAAGGCAATTCACCTTTAATGAAAAGCTTGCGAGTCGCATTCTGTGTACAGCACTGTTAGCACAAAAGATGTGTGAAAAATTAACCATATAGATATTTCATCATTTCATCAAACCATCCGTGGAGAGGTTACGGAGAGCATTAGGCTGCGAGTCCTGTTGTGGGTATCTCCCTCCACCGCTATAAATAATGTGGCTTTAGGCTGAAGCTTTCATAAACAGACGCCATCACTGATGCTTGTGCCATAAAAGGTTAAAATGAAGGGATCCCCACACACCAGGGAGACAGAAGGATTTATCCGACATGAGAGGTTTACCTTGGAAAAAGATCATATTGAGATTATTTTGACAAATATTGCGATATGATTCACAAATGACTGAAAAAACACTACTAAAATAATGATGATTTGTTGGGGTCTATACCTCTCACAACTCGAGAATACGTTTTTCATTATAACACATTAAACCTTTATTACACAATTGCAGCTTCTGCGATTTGAATATTGCAACATAATATTTCGATTAATTGTGCAGCCATATTTGAAAGCATAAACAATGCATTATTAAAAGCTGCAACAGATTTGCCAGTACTAAAGTGTTTTTCATTATTCAATTACTGCATAATGAGGTGTATTTATTCAAGGTTGCATCCAAATGTGCAATTTGCAAGACAGACATCTGTGAGTGGTATTGCACTTGCATGAAGTTGGGTGACTCACAGAGGGGCCAAAAATCGAAGCAGAGTAAGTCCAAGATATCCTCACTTTTAGTCCCTATAGTATGGGTAAAGCTCCACAAACACTTCCAATAATGCAACTTGATAACGTCAGAGCCTTCCTCCCTGGTACACTCCACACCTTCAGTTTGTAATGAAAGCTATGTGAAAACTATCCTCCCGACAAAAAATCAAAAGATTCAGCTGTTTCAGAAAGGGCCTTAGAATGAAATATATTTACATCAAAGTGACAAAGCCATCAAGCGGCCGTATTAATAATGACGCGAGGACAGACAGGATGACATCACTAGGGCGTCATAGGTTATTTTCCCAGGCGTGACAAAGCCTGTCCAGAGCCACATAGGGGTTTATACAGCTGTTTTCACTGGCGTAGTAGGACTAACCATGGCTATAAACTGATTTCAATGTATTATAATTCAAGGAGTTCAGCTCAGGCAGAGCAAATGAACAGACAGCTACATGATTATTCTCGAGAACAAATTTTCTTAGCTCACAATTGAGCCTGTCGAGAGCGTTGCACTACTTCTAAAGACATTTCTCTTGAACCCACTAATACAGATGATACCGCTCAAGCTCTAGTCTAAAAACTCTGTTATAATTTTGCTCTACATCTCTGCTCCTCCTTTGTTCGACATCAATAATACATGAATGGTATATTTTAACCCTCCTTAGAACCGATCAATCACTCTGGCTGGTCAGTGCTCGCTTTTCACTGCTTTCCACGTGCACTATTACTGTAGTTTCAGGCTGGGCTTCGGGGGAACGCTGTACCAAGCCAGAGACTAAGATGGGGTATGGGCAGCCGGACACAGTGCTGGTATTAGTATGACCTGATCGGGAACTGGTAGCCTGATATTAGTTCCACGGCCCCAAAGGACTTTCTGCTGGGATGAATTACCATTTGCACAGGCGGCCTCATGTGATGTGTCTATATGTGGCACTGCCTATGGTGGAAATGGGAAAGAGGTCAAAGGTGAGGGGAAACACTGAAATTGATCCTTCTGAATGTTGTTGGTCATCTGCCAAACTCATTGGGCAGGTTTACACGCAGACACATGCATAAACACACACAGACACTCAACAGTTTAAACAAATCTGCAAAAAAAAAATATTATTCATTTAAGTTCACTATCAAGCAAAGGTTCTCTGGCTCTTCTCTCTATTTTATATCACTATAAACTTAATATCTTTTAAATTGTTGGGCGGACAAAACAAGATATTTAAAAATGTCACGCTGTCCTCTGAGAAATTGTATCACTATTTTCACACTTTTTAAACACTAAACAATTAATAAAAAAATATATATATACATAAAAAAAGAAATCTTACAGATTAATCATTAATCTGTAGTTGCAGTCCTAACCAATAGCTCCTCACAATACACACACAGATACTGTTTACACATCAAGTGCAACAGAATGAAGTATGTGTCTGAACTATGCAGATTCTTGGAAACCTCCACGCTTTCTTACAGCCCAGACTTTCTTGCTGTGCCGTGTTTGTACAAAAACTTTAACGGACTTCACCAGCACAGACAAGCAGACCATCCCTCCTGCTGACACTGTAGTTTCACTGCAGGTGAAACAAATAGCAGAGACTCAAAAGTGACAAAGAGGTCCTGAACTTTAAAAAGTGGTACACACAGAGCCCGGGTAAGAACACAAGACCCCCAGTGTTGTGATGAGGTTGGTGACATTTTTCATAGATTAACAGACGTTTCCTGGGAACACTATTGTGCTTTAACAAGTTTCATTTGCATTCTTACCCCTCCCTCTTTCCCTTTTCTTGGTATAGTACAAAACAAGACTTTCAGTTGAGTCTGTTTATTTCTCATCCCAGGTTTCCAGGAGAAGAGGCGTGCCAGCTCTGAATTAGCATACAGCTGTTACACATGCTGAAGAGCGTTTGAAGAAGTGCCTCGCCATAGGAGACAGTCGACATACAGATGTAAAACAGTTTACAATAATGTAACCTGAACCATTTAGACTGCAGGATGTTAACCCAGGACTTTTATCTAGGAGACAAATCCGTCTCTTTGAGGATGCGTCTCATGTGCAGCTGTGACAGCAACAAGGAAGGTTGAGGAGCGTGGTGGGACTTCAGTGGGTGCCTGTGGAGAGCCATTACGGTGGAGAGCTACTTCACCCCTTTTCCATACACACTCCAACACACACCTGCGAAGAGAGGCTCTCTAGAAGCAGCGCATCTGTTCCAGCGTCCCCTGTTACAATGCAGGACTAATTAAAGGATCAGGGGAAGTTAGCACGGCGCCCCACACAGCAGTGTATGGCTCAATTTAATTACAATAGATCAACGCCGCCTTAATTGAGCTTCATCGCACAGTGAATTTTTCTCACACATGGTACGGCTCTCAGCATGGTGAGCGCCTCACATGTAATTAATCAAAACAAATGCACAGCTCAGGGTGAAACAGTATCATGAGGGAATGATGCACTCAGCTAGACATATGTGCACCCAACATATATCATGTCAAAGTGCAAGGATTTTTCAAAAGCCTACTAACATTTAAGTCTCTAGTACGTCTGTTAAAACGGCAAACATAAAACAGCTCATAACAGAGGTGGCTCACTTTTAAAGTCGGTCCAGCCCCGTCTTTGAGGCCGTGGCATCTGAAACATGATCTTGGCAACTCAGTGAGCCTGCCCTGCCTTCTCTGACAGAGAAATAACAACAACGGCAGAGCTGCCATCCACTCCGACAAAGAGTAATGTCAGGGAGAATGTCACCCACACAACTACCCTGCAAAGGCCACAGCTCTAATGAGAAACACGCACACACACAGCATGCAGTTCAGCGTGTGCTACGAAGTCATGTTTGCAGTCCCCGCGGAGGAAGGAAGAACCAAATAGAGAGAAGTGAAAGAGGTGAAGGACAAAGCGGTTGCTGATCTGCACTCACTAATGTGCTGACAGTATATGATGAGAACACGTATGAGAGCCGTGGCTCTGCGGCGGGATTTCCCCTCTGTTATAAACACATGATGGCATTGGCAGGGAGACTGCTGTACTTGTCTAAACAACGACACAGAAAGCACGGCCCGGTCCAAGGAGCTTCCACACATAATGCTCTGTCCACTATGTGCCAGACACAGCAGGGTGACAGCTGCTGGTGCACAACTGTCCTGGGATTCACTTAAGAAGAGATTGAAATATACTGACACTTAGGAAACAGAGTGAACTTTAATTTGAGACACTTAAAGCCTTACCACTGACAACAAGCTTTAGGATAATTTATTTAGTTATTAAAGAGGTTAAATCTAATCTGAAACCAAATGACAGTTCAGTACAGTTTGGACAAACGAGCGCTGTGTGTGTCACATATTAGTCCTGAGTTGTTTGTCCGACAGAAGAGAACAGGCAACGCTACCAGTGAGCTCATACTTTTCCAGTGTTTACATATTGTATACATTATAGAGCATATGGCACAGGGGTACTTAAAAGCCCTGACAGAATACTTTCTACAGTACAGCGGGGGAGTTGTTTTAGTTTGAGCTCTGTGTTTACTGCATGTGTTTAATTGGTAAGATTATCCTTCAACTGGTTAAAAAGCTGCCACGTAATGGGTTCAGAATGGGTTCAAGTCTTTTCTTTTTTTTTCTTTACTTGTGCATAATTTACTTCACCTGTCAGAAAAGTGCTGCAACAAACAAAGCCAGTCACAGAAAAGTGTTCTACATCCTTTCATTACAGACCTTTCCAGTACACCATTCACACCTCTCTGTCATTTAAACTCATCAGTCAAGCAAAAACAAGAAACATACTGCAAAGTGATTCATTTCAAAGTATGACTATCAGCAGGCATCAAAAGTGTTTACAAGGGGATTTTGATTTCTTAAATAAATGCCCCCTGTGGATTTGGACAATTTCAATTTAATATCCAAGGTGCTCCTGATGATTTAATCAGACAGAGACAGGGGGAATTGAACAGAAGACCCCGTGTTGTGATGATGTATGGCGGCATATGATCGTGCTAATTGCCGCATAAGCAACTCTGCTTGGTTAATTGGAAAATTCATCAAATGACTGCTGGCGTGTAGTGATCAAAGCACATGTTGGAAATAAGTAAAGAAACCTCGTAGCTTCACTCACTAACTTCATAAGACTTTAAAAAGTTGTTACAAGGAAAAGGAAAAGACAGAAAATTGCCACATGTGGAGTTTTTACTTGATTTGGTCCCTGGCCCGTGAGAGAAAACAGTGATGATAAACTTACATGAATGCGTGGTAGATGAATGCGCATCCTCTTGGTCTTTCCAGCACGTTGTACAGACAGTTTTGCAACTTTCTGTAGCGTTTGCTCGAGGCGGACGTGTTGGCCCGGGGTCCCGGCGGCCCGGGCAGCGGGGTGCCCAGCAGACCTGTGCGGTGAGACGGGTGTCCGCGCTCCGGGGTGGACGGCTCGCTTCTCTCCGTGTGGACAGCGGTGAGAGCCACAAACTCTACCCGCCTGTCGTCGTTCGAAGCCGGGGGCACCAGCATTCTGATGCCGCCGTTGTTTGACGGGCTTCCTAACATCTTCAGGAAGACACGATTAAACTACATATGATCTGACACTTCTCACTGGATCGTCCGCAGGAGCGCAGAGCAAAGTTTTGACCGAGTCATAGTGCGGTTTTGTCTTGGCTTTAAAGTGGACTAAAACTAGTCTACGGGTCAAAACGCATGAGTAAATATCATCCCTGCTGCGTTTCAGTGCCGGTTGGATGAGTTCAGATTTTAAAAAGTTATCTGTAAATCAAGTCACGGTCGCAAAAGAAAAGATGCACAATACTGGGACAAGTGCGTCGCGCAGAAACGTGACCTTCAGCGATCATTGTCAAGAGTCAAGATGTGGGAAATGCTCAGCGGGGGTGCAGAGAAGTAACAAGACATGCACTGACAACCTCGTTGACACTGCTAGCGACCTGCCATCACTCTGCACAAATGATCTCTCACGCATAAATACACTTGAAACCAGCAGCTGTAGATCCCTAAACAAGGACTACGAAGCGAGCGAGCGCAGATGGGCATGCAGTGGATCTGTGCTCTCCACAAACCAACTCTATCCAACTACAATAACCGGCGTTCTTTTCATTAAGTTGTGTCTGAGCTGCTTCTACAGTTTTGAATTGGCGGAGTGAGACTCGCCACAGCCGCTGTCATCATCAGCCCGCTCTGCTCTCCCCTCCCTGTGCGTCTCTCTGGTCCAGCGCTCCTCCGCTCCGGCAGGCAGGCGGGGTGGAGCGCGCAGAAGTAAAGACCATCAGTGTGATGTCAAGAATCGCAGACGAGCAACTCTTAAAAACTCGGGTAGAAAATGACAAATAAACGCCTGTCGATGCTTGCCTCTAGTGTGTGTGAGTGCTTACAAATGTGAACCCGACCCCCACCCCTTCCTCCTCCTCCTCCTCCACCCACACCCCTCCCTCTCTGGTGCAGAAAGAGTGCAGAAAGAGGTGCGCTTGCGAGAGAGGAGGACTCCGCGCACGGCATGGGTTTGAGATGTACGCAGATGCATTATGTGAGAGGAAGACTGTTTTTTTTCTTCTTTGTTTTTGAAGCTTTCCCGGAAGTGTGAGAGGTTTCTATAACTTTGATAAGAAGTGCTGGTTGGGCATATGGAGCTAAAGGCTATTATAAAATTACACAGGGGGTAGTTTATAAGTCCCAGGTTTATTCTCTAAGCCTCCCAGAACATACAGTTTAATGACCAGGGATTGAAGCAACAAAGGTTTCCTTTGTCTTTCCTCTGAAATGAAAATGTCACTCGTGCTTTATTGTGGGAGGGGGGCTTGAATCCATGCCTACAAGCGTTAGGGACAGCAGAGACAGGTGCTGGGGGACACAAAGACACCGACTGCAGCCTCCTCCTCCTCCTCAGTGAACAGAGCTTTCTAAATCTATGACTGTGACACACACAGAGGCCTGTGGTTATGACACAAATACTAGGGTTATGGAGCCAAGTGCCCTGTAGAGAGATCACCTGTCATGAGGGGCCTCTGAGGAATGTATTGCGAGGTGGTCCCCAAACTCCTGCTGGAATTCATTGTTTCATCTGACCACCAAAAGTGACACCGGCAAAGATCATTCATTTTCAGCTAAAACAAGAAGCTCTCGGACCAATGTAAACCTGGAGCTACTGGTTGTTAAATACCAGAGTTGAAAAAGTTTGGTATTTCAAAACAAAGAGGAACAAATCTGCTCTCTTTCCTCCGGAACCTCATCGCTCACATCCCTGGTCCCCCACTGGAGTGAATAATTCCTCAATGACATATTGTTTAGTGTAATATATGTTACATTGCTGCCTGCATCAAAGAGAGAAACTGACCATCTCTCACAGACATGCGTTCAGCATTCTCTTCCACAACAGTGGCAGGTTACTAATGCGAACTATGTGCTGCAGTTTATGGAACATGCAGGTCCGTGCAATGACGTGTGGGAATGCAGCTGGAGTCTCTCACAAGTCACAAATCTAGACATTATTCCCAGGGCCCACTCCCATTACATAACTTACCATCACTGATCCTTAGCTCTTTACTCAGCGTCACACATATAGACTGATGGACTTACTGTTGGCTATGAGCTGAAATCAACTGTTGACAGCTGTACTTACGGCAACGTGTTAATACAGACTGGGAGACTGGTTAACGTGACTGAAATGTAAGGGGAAGTTTTCCAGATGAGGTGTATTGAATTTTCTTTTTTTTTCTCAGCAGTATTTAAACAGACTTGAGCTACTGTACAACTAATATTTATTTTCATTGTAGATACATTTTTAGTTTTAGTCTGTAAGATAAGATAGATCCCATGCAAGGACATGAATATGCCACATGTCAAACGTCAAATTATAATTTTCTCAGAGCCCAAGTTTGCTTCTTCAAATGTCTTGTTTTGGACCATCAGTCTGAAACTCAAAGATTTATCATGAAATAAAACTGATAAAAGCAGCAAATCCTCACATTTGAGAATTTGAAAGTTGACATTTTTGCCTGAAACCTTTAATCGATCACCAAAATTGTTGCAGGTTAGAGTATGTTAATGAAAGTAGCAATAAAATGATTAATCAAATAACCGTTTTAGCTTATTAGACCTGACTACTAATGCAGGAGGCAAAGTGCACTGAAGTCCTGTGTGCCAGTTGCACAAATAATCTATTTTAAAGGCTATAATATATAATGATGTAAAGGTTAACAAAAGTGTCACCCCCTATCAATTTATGCCCACATGTCTGATTATGTTAAACCAAATTCAAACCAGCTATCGCGCTCAAACTGATTGTTGGTACTGGTTCTGGTTTCAGACAAAACTAAATCCAGCTTACGTAACATCTGGTGCCACGGTTGGAAATATAAGAGTAAAACATGCTTTTATTTTGGTTTATGATCAGTTAAGAAGCACATAAACAGCTGATATTTAATTTATAAATGAAACACATGACTTTTATGTGAATTGAGGTCTAATTTACGTGGCACTGGGCCTTTAAGGAAAGGTGAAATTCACCTCCCACAGGTGTAAGCAGGTGTATATTCTGCCTTCTTAGAATAGTAATGTAGATGTAAACGACAGAAAGATAAAGGACAGGGGATCTAATTTGGGAAGTTTGCTTATCAGTAACAGTCTTATGGAGCCTAACCACAAGAAAAAAGGAGGTTACTATCTACACATCAAAAATATGGCATCCTATACTGGAAATTTCCCACTACAGCCCCTCTCTCTGTTAGTTTGTTTCCTCTCCTCCTCCAGCTCCCCTTGCCTGCCCTCCTCTCATCTCTCAGCAGTCCAAACCATGACAGGAGGGGGGCAGGGTGGGGGGCACGAAGGAAGAAGGTGACGACGGACAGGCCGGTCCTGTTGTACCCTCAGGGATTTACATCAAAGTTTCACCGAGGCAAAACCATGCCCCCTAACTTTCTATTACAGTACCAACCCTGCTCCAGTGTAACAATCATCCAGCAATCAACACTTAAGAGTTGGGCGGAGTATCCAACGTGGCCCCTGGGATAAAGGCTGCCCCAGTGACGACACGCAACAGCTGAGCAAGGTCAGACTGTAAAAATCTGAGTGTGGAATGGATGGTTGAAATGTGCCCAACCGGACCATAAGGAAAGGGCTCACACATGCTCATATACACAGATTTGGTGGCACTCAGGGTGGAATAACAGTCGGGGACGACCCAGAACGGACTACAGGGGCCCGCAGTGTTAGGAGCCGGCTGTTGTGTTCCCCACCTCTCCCCTCTCTGTTGTTTTTCCACAACAGTCCTCACTTCAAGCATTCACTCACGCCCCACAGAGCCCGCTGAGCTCCGGGAGTTGACAGCCACTCAGGGAATCTATGGGAACTTAAAAATACTCACATCAGCAATTGTGCGCTACACATAGTACAGTACAAATTCACTCCGTCCGACCCCCACCAACCTTTTATTTCCGCTGTGCACTTGGACGTTTCCTTAAGCCACTTAATGGCTTTCCCAGCCAGCACTCTTGTTTGCCTTTATTTAATCTCCTTTCTCTTCTCCTTTTTTTTTTTATCACTTTCCTCCTCTTTAACCCAGATTTTTCTAAATGGAAAACATCAGAGGGACTAAGAGAAAGTAGAGGAGGGGAGGAGAAGAGGGGCAGATTAATTGTTGATATATTTTCTGTTGTGTTGGATTAATGTTGGTGTGATAAGCCTGGTTATAGTCTTTGGAGAGATGAGCTGACACCCCACTGAGCAACACACTCTAACCATCATGTATGCTATAAAAATGTCCACTGACGTGAGGCAGCTTTCCTGTGTTAATCAAGCTGACAATCTGCCATTCTGCAGTATGAATATGTAAGCGGCAACCACTACATCCGGTGACTGAGTCAGGAAATTACAGTAGTTTCAGTTGAGACCTCACTCACTGGCCCATTCATGGCCAGTCAAAAGATCTTTTGTAACTTACTACTCTTAGTGCTTTTACAGCAGTGACTGAGCGTGTTACTGACAACCTTTTATATGGGTGGAGGGGACTGCAGAGTAGACATTACCTCACTTACGTCACGCAAAAACAGACCCAAACCAAACTACTCTGAGTTATAAAAAGAAGTAGCATTAAGTGTTAGAACCTGGCTGATTTCAAAGAGGTCAGATGACTCACCTTAGTTCACAAGGAGTAAAAGATCAGCCTTTTTTGAAAATATACTTAATATAGTGTACACTTTTAGATTGTTTTAGGTGAGCCTTTTCTAGGTAGCTAAAATACATTTTTCTGCTGACTACCACTCTTGTCTGCTTGTCCAAACAGGGGGCATGCTGAGCAGCATCTACTGTAAGTAATAAACTGACTATGGATCGGTTCCTCATACAACCATACTTCAAAAAACCCAAACTATCCCTTTAAAGTTTTCAAAAGGATTTTTAATTTTGCCTCATGAACACAATGTATGTCAAAACCCTGAATTAACCTGAATGATTAGGGCAATGGTGTATTAAGAAGGCAGTCAGTAAACTGTTCGACTCCATGTCAGCAGCTATAGTGCTGTTGACAGGGTATCAGCATATTATACGTTCTTCCTCATGAATTAAAACTACTTGTTGGAGATCAGAGTGTATGTTAATGTGCCAAGAATATAGTAAGTTACGTGCCTTTTATCATATGAACTATCCTCACTCTGAATGAATACATGGTTATAAATTCAGTCTTTTTTCTTACTTAAATCAAACAATTAATACACTTATAAACAAACTTTGGGGATTTTAATACAGTATAAGGCTTAGTTTTTTTATTTATTGATTTACTACTTTTTTTTAATAAGTGAATCTAGTTCACCTCCAGAACTGCTGTTCTGTTGCTCCTTGTTAAGGGAGATAAGAGAATTTCACTGCATGGATCACTGAACTGTCACATTATTCTTATACAACACTGAAATGCCAGGACCTGGGAAAAGCTTGCATTATGGTTTGATGGTGATTAAAAGAAACTCTACCGACACCTCGGCAAAAGAGAAAAGAGGATCAAACACAAACCCCATCTTAGTGAATGTCCGCTCCAGTTATGGGTTTGTCCCTAAATTGGTGAGACCAACTGGTGTTGTAGCCCAATCACAAGGTCCAGACAGTCAGCTCCAATTCATCTGACCAAGGTTGCCTTGATCTGACCGGATGAGCCAGCCAAGAAAAATACCAGCAGACAATCCTTTTCATGCTTGACTTAAGCTCAAACATTCTCACAATCCTCGCCGCTCTTATTAGAAAGAGCCGAGAATGAGTCTGCACTCATTAATGCAGTTATTGTTCGGTGATTAAGTCGATTAAGAAAGGGCCCTCTGGTTTGACTAATGTTCACTTGTGGCTTTGACTACCGTGGCTTATCTAGACAGTTGTGTAAGTTAGCAGTCACCATGGCAAAATGTGGCAAAATGCGTTTTTTAAACGGCTGCATAGGAAAGCACTTCAAAGTGACACTTTTGAGCTTCGACTTTCGACACTGACACCATGTATGAGAGCTTTTACTTGGTGTAAAGTGGGACACTGTGAGCACCCTGCATCTCTCTGCCTGCTTAATTTTCTCTTCCACCATAATTACTTCTCTTCCTTTTAAGATTTAGGTCGAATAAGGAATGCAGTCTGATCTCGCAGGAGCTGAGCAGTCTCCAGCCAAATAACTCGTGACTCTATTGTTAACCGCTTGCCCTTTGTAGAGCATGAAGCTTTTCCAGCACTCGAGGAGGGCGGCAGAAATAAGATTAGTGGTGTTCATATTGTCTGCTTCGGGTGCAACGTGGGTAGATATTGATTGCACATTTATACCAGTGCAGTACAGTTATGTCTACGCTCCTGGTAAAAAAAAAGTGTAAAGCTGTTTGCCAATAAATCAGGTGCCTTAATACTGTATGTCAGTGGCATTTAGTTTGTTAGATCAGTGCTGCCCTCCTATGGCCATTTGGGAAAACAACACAAGGCTCACACAGTTAAAGCCACCAATATTCTCGTGTCCACAATTAAGATAAGTTTTGAACATTCGAAACATGAACATTATGTCTTGTGATTTTGCTTCGGCTTCATACCCATTGGATAAAAGCAACAAAGGCAATGATATTGTGGGCTCTGGTGGTGGGATGTGTCTACCTGCAAATACAGTAGGAGGGTTGGTTCAAGTCTTATCTCTTGGTGTTCCAATTTATCCTGTCTCCCTGTCTACAGTCCACACATTAGTGAGGTGCTTAACCTAAAATAAAACAATGAAAACAAAGATTAGTACAAAAAGTCTTAAGACAAGTTATGTTTTTTATTTTTTCTCACAAACAAAGTTTGTTTACAAAAAGGAACGTCAAAAATAAAATTGTACCTATCTATTGCATGTCATGCTGGCAGTTTGAACTACATGCAAAAATAACAATAATAAGAACATTGATAATAATCATTACTGTACAAAAAACTGATGGGGAAGAAATGAGGCCAAACATCATCTCAAAAACAAAAGAAAAACACTTGTATTGAAAAAAAAGACTTCTATAAAAAGGGTGGAGTTTTTTTGCTCCAGACGGAGTCATGTGTTTGTACATGAGACTTAAACCAGGGCACAAGACTCCAAAAACCACCCGGGTAGAAAGGTGAAACTGCTTAGAGGCAGAGAAAAGTTTCCCTGCTCTAAAGACAGAGGGGTGAAGAAAGAGTGGATGAAAGAAATGTGGTGTGGGAGCTTGAAATACAAGCACACACACATCCTCACACACACACACACACACAGACAGTTAACCTACACAGTTTGAAGCCCTTACAACATAAAGTCATGCTTCATCGTCAATGTGGAAAACGACACAAAAGAGAAACTAGATGAAATTATTAATGAACCTTATAGCCTCTTCTTGAGATCCCTTCGATTGACCTGCTGTAAAAAGTGATATCTGAGGAATATGGCTTCATTTTATCCATCAACTACATGAAAACAATAAAAGAGGGTATGATTCATGTCTTCCCATAAGGAAAGCAGGAGGTGAGGAATCCAATGACTACCTTCTACCACAGATATGCCAGGAGCAGGTTGTGTAGACACAGACGGACACTCCCCAATTCATTTCCAAATGGAGAACAGAAACGAAGGTGCCAGGAATAAAGCACACACTTTTTTATGTTTTAAAAATCCTTGAAATGAGACAAGAGGAAGAATAGAGTTGGTCTGTGGAGAGACTGCTGTCAGGGACTGTGGCAGTGGATGCATATTTTCTCTACAGATGTGGGTGACAAAAGTACAAAAAGTGTCATGGATGCAAGTTAACATGAGATTCTGAGAGAGTCAATCAGTGTCCCTTTGGTTGTTTTTTTTTTTTTTTAATCCAGTGTACTAAGTTGCTTGCAAAAAAAGAGTGTTACAAGATTTCAGTTCCCTTGTCTACATGAGCAGTGCTTAAAATCAAGGTTGTCAAGCGTCCGTTTGTCGAAGTTGGTGGCATCTGTCGGCGTCACATGGGCTGGTATGCGTGTTGTGTGTGTGGAGAATAGGTTCCTGGTTGGGCTCAATCAGTGCTGACCTGCGTGACCTGTGTGTCAGCCGTCTGGTTGGTGGACTGAATAAACATTGGCTGGGTCAGCTCTTGTCCTGCTGGCATCGTCACTTGCTGAATCTGATACAACTGCTGTAAAACAAAGAGATAGACAGAGAATAAAGGTCTGTGTGTAACTGGATTTTAACAGGATGACAACAGACTACATGGTTCTAAACACTCTTAGGTTGTTACAAGGTGCTACTTAGGTTGTTTCTTCAATACAATGTTATCTTTTATCTGTATTTGAAATTGTATTTATGACTGACTGCCGCCTTTCTTTGCTGGCAGACTCTTTAAAAAAAAGAGACACTCAATGCGGCTCTCTTGGTTTTCTTCATGGGCACATGTCAGCTAGTTCGCAGCAAGGTGACATGTGCCCTAGTTAAAATGAGAAATGCTAACAAAGCAAACAAACCATAAATAAAGACAGTGAGTCAGCTCCCACTCAGCAACAAATAAAAGATACCAAATTCAATATTTAGCTCAAAATGTCATGGTCATTACTACAGCTTTGGATATATTTATTGCATTTGTTACCTGTCCGTCAGTAAACTGGTTGAACTGCTGCTGTCCTTGCTGTACCTCTGTCTGTGTGATCTGAAAACAAGTTAAATAAAATTAACAGATGAACACTAAATGCTTCGATATCATATAATTTGTTATATGAATGCTATTTATGCTTCTATTGTTATTACCTGCTGGGTGTTGGCGAGAGTCTGAATCTGTCCTTGGACCACTTGTGCTCCAGAGACAGGCTGGGCTAAACGGATGTATTGTAGCTGGCCCGTGTTCAGTTGCACCTACATTCAACCAACACAAGGGGGAGACAGAGTTTGGTTTAGAGCAAAGGTCATTTGAATGCAGAGGTCACAGCCATTTTCCTGCTCTGGACAACAGCAACAAGAATGATTCACTTTCCTCAGGAGAAATGGTAACTTTTGTCTGAAGATTCCCATCAATCAGTGAAGGATGGATAATTCACTAAAACACCATGTAAGTAACTATATGCAACAATATATGCAATTTAGCCATTTTAACCTGAGCCTATAAATTCAATTCCCTGACCAATCCTTTCTCTAATTCCCATAGCTTTTTTCCCTCCAGTTTGATGCCATTTCTTACCGGGATTTGCTGGATCTCTCCTGTGTTGGTGATGATCTGCTGCATGACCTGCATGGTCTGGCCTTGGGCTTGAGCTGTCTGAGCTTGACCCTGTGCTGCAGCTTGGACAATCTGTACCTGCTGGCCCTCACTCACCTGCATAGCCACAGGCGCACTCTAATGGAGAGGGAAAAAAGAAAGAAAAGGAAAGATAAAAACAGAAAGACAGGCAAGAAAGAAGGATAGAAAGACAGAAGTAACACATTAGTTGTTGAACAACAACTGGTACAGGCAAGTAGTTTATGATTGACATAAAGCAAAGAACCAGGAAATCACTAACTTCCCTGGAATTAGATTTTAACCAGCACCACGAGGCTTATCCTAAAATTCTGTTAAAAGATCATCACACAGGTACAAAAGAACTGGAGACATAAGGTGACAATGCAGGTTTCAAGTCCTCTCCTTCTCTTCTGTCTGTCACACTATCTAGGAAAGGCCACCTGATCTCATGCTGCGGTTAGCCCTAGAGATCTCAGTCCCCTGAACGGGACAGAGCTTGTAGGCCGCAGTCACCTATAGGGCTGTGACAAAAAGTAGTGGCCTCTGTCTTTTCGTGTGTTTAGTGAACTAATAAATGCACATGTGTGTTTACCGTGATGGGTGTGCCCTGTGATTGCACCTGCACTTGCTGTAACTGCTGCATGGTGGCACCCTGCAGCATCTGATGGCCCGACAGAATAGAATGAGAAAATGAGAGAAAGACACACAGTGAGAAAGCAGCGATTGCAACAACTTAACACATGAATGTAAGCGCGTGTGGAGAGTGTATGCGTAGAAAGCTTCAATGTTAGAGCAGCAAACAGTGACACAAGCAGCAAATGACTCTTGATGACAGGTTTATGAATGATAGAATCGGAGGTGAAATGTCAGAAACAAAAAAAACAAATTCATGGACAGGTTTTGGAAATGTCTGCACATCACAGTGACATTTACATCAGCTTCAGTAATGTCAGCTGTGGTTTCGTAAGTGCTTATGAGAGAGTTGGTGACCTGAGAGAAAAATGACAGAATTGGTACAACAGTGACAACTAGTGACACTGAAAGCTCTGCACACGAACACAGATGCATAAGTAAAGGGTATTAATTAAGATCTCTGCCCATCGTCTGCTCCCACCATAAATCTCTTGCTTTTTCATTCTAAAGCATTTTCTGCTAACACTTCACTCTGCAGGCCAAATCTGTTGTACCAATTATGGCATGTAACTGGTGGCTAGTGGAAAGCCAACCAGCTCTGTTTTACACCAGCAAACATTTATGTGACACTGACAAGAGGGAAAAGTGTAATTAAGTTAGACAACAAAAAAGATTTGGTTGCAATAACAGGGGGATTGAGATAAAGCTTCAAAGTTTTTATTTTCTCTCAAAAGCACTTCAACAAACCAAAATTCTTTTTTGGGTAAAAATGTCACTTATTCCCACAAGGCCCACCTTTAAAGTGCCACCTTGTATATAGCCTACAATGGAGTCTACGTAAGGTGAGTGTCATACTGTGACCTCCCCGCTCTCAGCGGGAACTGCAGCAGCAGTGCTATTGAATCAGGCCAGGTCTAAATGAGCATGACAGCTCAGCTAAAGGCAGTCTGCTGAAGCAGCATGAAGCACCACGGCAGCCCAGGAGCACACGGTTGCATGACATGCACAGACCAAGCTGGGGAAAGGACGCTTAGCATCAAAAGTAGCATGAATGAGATCAGAAAGAAAGGCAATTGAAAAGTCTCCCTAAATACGCATGTTTGTTATTTTGCTAACTCCTCTGATCCAGAGGTGGAACGCACTCTCTCCAATACTCCGTATGCGTATGTGTGTGAGAAACAGTCTGTTTTTGTATGTTGTTGTGTGTCTATCAACATCATATTTCCATTACAATTCATAAGTTAATAACAGAGAAGGGAATATTCTGTCCGCAGAGTGTGCAGATCAAATGTTTGCTCTGCAGGGTTTCACAGGGAGGGTGTGCATGTGTGTAGTGATGTGCGCTGGGTGTGTTCTGAGGTTCAGTTGTTCCTGCTGGTGGGAGAGTGGTCAGCTACTGAATGTGAGCTAAGACTAATATCAATAAAGCCTGGTGTGATGACCTGAGTAACAAGCCTTTTGCAGCATGATTCCCAGCGCTGGGTGGTGTTTAGAATGTGTTGCTTAAACTACTTGGGAGAGGTAATCTTTTCAGGTGTTACAAAGACACACACAAAAACACAAGATCTTTTCTGAGAAGAAGTTCAGTGCAGGCTTCATTAACTGGTAATTTGTGTTTCTGTGGTTAGCTGCAGTCAATAATTCACTCCCCTTTCCACATCGCCCTGATTATTGCCTAAAACTCTCATATCCAGCTGTGGTTTTATTTTGTTGTTGCTCCTTTAAATCGTGGTGTATCATTTTTTCTTTGCGGAAAACCCTGTGAGGAAGCTTTTCAAAGACGGCGTTAGTAGTACCTGTCCTTGCTGTGGCTGTGCTATAATGATCTGTCCAGGCTGGATGGTCGTGGCTGTTTGTGCGCCGGGCTGTTGGGCCTGTTGTGTGCCCTGCACCTGTACAGCTCCAGGCTGCTGGGCCAGAGTGAAGTAGTACTGCACCGGCTCTGCTGGGGCTACTGACTGACGCATCTCCTCCTGAAGACGACATACACACACACACATACACAGGGAAGAAGGCCTATCAGTCCATTACATCTCCATGAATTATTTTTGCAGGGTAACGGTAGAGGAGGGCAAGTCTGATAAATAACTGATGGGATGTCGCTGGGGAAGAGTAATGTAATCTGGACATAAGATCCATTACAAGCGCCATACTGGTCAATACCATAGACTGCAGGTCTGGAGGAATGCTAGGCTGAACATGGTGATATGTTTTAACCCTAATCAACCTGAACAGTTTACAAAAGAACATTATCAAACCTTTGTGGCTCTACTGTAATATCAGTAAACTGAATGCAAACACGCTCTTTCCAGGGTTAGCCACAAAAGTCAGAGTTTGTTAGTATTCCCTTTGCTGCAATGGGTGCTTGAACTCAGGTCTAACAACGATCACAAATCAAATTATATCAGTAAACACTGACCTCTGTCATTCTGCTTATAACTGACTAATGAGCAGCGCTTCATCTTGATGAGGTTTCTCCGTCACCAGAAGCGTAAACACCCCTCTCCCAGCTCCATGACAACACAGCTGAGAGTGTAGGATGTTTACATGCCTGGAGACAGTCTACTTGACAACAAATTTAAATTTCTCACTCCTCCATCTGGTATGCTACATTTGTATACAGTACATCAGTCTCCTGCTTGAGCAAAACTAAGAAAAGGCACTTTATCCTTATTTAATTGATCTCACGTTACCTCATCGCTGAGGTTACTGTTGGTTGTCAGAGGCAATAAGATGCTGCAAACATCCGACTGAAAGCCCTCGCTGTCCAAACCCCAGCTTCCAGTCAAGGATGTTTACAGCACCTCCAGGTTGCCAACAATGAAAAAGCACCTGAGATGAAGACCCAAATGGCCGTCTCTTTTTCCTGTGCCAACTTGAATGTGTAAGCAAATTATTTTTTCCCCTCAAAAAATACAATTCTGGTGACATTTGCTGTTTACCTGTCACTACGATCCTGTCAGTCTTTGCTTTCATACCTGTCGTTTAGGTGGCTTCAGGTCGTCACGGGGCACAATGTCAATCAGGAAGTCAAACTGGTCAAACTTTGTTATTGCCATGGCAATGTCGTTCCTCTGTAAACATAACAGACATAGAGGGTCAAGCGATGCGGTCAGACTTAAATTATGTTAATTCAATATAAGCAGCGACCTATATATAAAACATGCCTCAAGGCCTAAGGTCAACTCTCTCAAAATAGCCACACAAGAGGCTACCTTGGAACTGAAATCAAGTTCCCAGTAGTACTGTAACATGTATTTACTTTAATAACTGAGCTCAAAAGGAAGAGAGGATTTTTAGAAGTTTAGAGCTGCATTGATTAGTCAACAGAAAACTAATGAACTTAATTCATGAATCATTTGAATCAGTTTTCATGGGAAAAAAAGTCATTAGTTGCTGTTAATGAAGGTTCAACCCCTAGCATCACAATCATAAACCTGGTGTGTGTGATGGGTGCAAATGAGCAGGAATGACACTTTCCTGCATGATCACAGCCTCTGCTGCTATACGCCTTCCTATATCCACAGCAGTGTGCTGTCTCTGTGGAATTTTCCACAGGATATTGGCTGTCAGGACCCCCCCATTGTGGCCCTCCCTGCACTAGAAGCTATTTATAGTAGCTTGATTAATATCTGGTAACGCCAGGTCACATCTACACTTGTTCTATTGATGAGCGTTGCTATGGTGACCCCAACTGGCGTGCCCTCTTCACAATGGGACTGAGGCTCTGAGTGTGTGTATGTGTGAACATGTGGAAATGGAGGGTACCATTTTCCTTCACTAAGGCACAAGAAAATAACACATGACATAACACATTTGTGACGTGTACCTAATGCATCATCTGTGGTGTAAAATGTAATTAATATGTAAAATATGCTGTTTCTATTTAAAGCATGCAGTGTAGAGTTCAAACAATGGAGAGTTTATGCTAAAAAAGAACTCTAGGTTAAAGATAAGTCAAGACAACAGCAAAGAGAACACACTTCCAAAGTAGGTCTTCAATTTAAGACTCCTCCAAGACTGACTGCGATGAGAGCGATTACACTTTCTTTTCTGGCCTCTTTTTCTACCTGTGTTGGCATACACACACACACATATCCATGGGTTGCTAATCTCTCAGAGGTATGTGAATGGATAAAGTGGACTTAAGGGCTTTCATGTTCTGCTCCACAATTTTCCCCTCTTGACGTCCAGGTGAGACAAGCTCTTTTCAGATCCCAACTGTTCCCATAAGAGCGCTCATGTTCCCTGCTTCCCTGTTCCCTGCTTCCCTGTTCCCTTCTCACATCATTCCAGAGTCCATCTTATTCAACTTTGGGACAGCAGAGCAGGCAAAATGGCACCGGAGGGAAAAGTGGGTCAACAGCACCCAGCCTGGCTTTGCTTTCAAAGTCAATGGAGGGAGAAAGAACTAAAGAGAGGGATAGTTCTCAGGGGGATGCTGGTATGGGGCCTCTGCTTGTATATGCACACAGACACAGGCACAACAAACCAAAAAGAAAGCCAAATGATGCAACCGTGTGGGAGAAGAGTTAAAAAGAAAAAGATGGCAGAAATATACAGAGGGAAGAAAAAGGAAATGTAATTATTATTCCAATAGACAGGTGTGAGCTGTCTTTGTGCACCAACAAATGGTGTAGTAAGAAGACAGTGGAGAGAGATTACCTCAAGTAAAAAAGGGATGACAAGAACAGAGCTCAAACATCTCTTGAAGTGTGTCTGACCTGTAGAGTGCGTCTCTTATTGTCCTCGGTGTGGATCCACGCTCTGAGGGTGAGCTCTGTGATGAAGATCTGAGCAGCCTTGGCAAACAGGACGGGAGCCTCTGCACTGATCATCTGTACGGAGAAGATGGAGTTACACCTGGTTAAATGCACCCACAGACTCAAACAAACATCACATATCAGCTATAACATGAGTCACTCAGGAGTAATAAATGGCTGCATCACATTCAAAGGCACTGCAATAAATGCATTCATTTGTTTAAAAAGACCACATTATAATAATGTGTCATCCCAAAACACTACTCAAACAAAGCTATATTGCTTAGAAGAAATTATTATTATTATTCACCAAAACATTTGAACGTTGTCGTTAACAACGCCTCTTCAGTTGTAAAAATCACTGGTCTGCATGACTCTAATGGCAAATTTCTTAGTTTCAAATTCCACTTCTTCATTTCGAGTGGCACTGAACTCTCTGTCAAGCCACACAATAATTAGTTAAGTATATGGACATATTTGTAAAGCCCACAAGATGGGCTGTAATAATACCACTCACATGTACACATGCAGCGAAAGCTGCTGTGTCAGGGCTGACAGAAGGGTCTTTTCTTCAGATATGTTAAGGATCTCCTGATCTCTTTACCACTTTAAGCTGCTGCTTAACTAAGGGGATAGTGCTCTTGACACGACACATTCAAGCCCCACACACACACACACACCTATGTCCCAAGGCTTTCTCTTTAGAGACTATGAACAGCCCTGGCTGATAATCTGGTGTAACGGGGGAAAAATAATCACTCCTCCTTGTGCTTCAACTGTCGAGTTCAATGCAACTGACAAATGTTGGTAGATCGTGGGTAGGTACTGTTGAATAAAGTTTGTGGATACATGCCCCTAAAACTACAGTATATCCTAAGCCAATCTGAGAGATTAGTATTGGCATCAAGGTGTACTTTAAGCCCAGTTTAATTTATATTGTTAAGTTAAGTTACCCAGTTTTTCTTGAAATAAATCACAACTTGCAGCCAAGTGGAATATGTTTTAAAAAGTCAACAAGCAGCTACAATCTCTACAATGCGGAGCCATCTTAAATTAAAAGCAGCTACTTCTTATGGATACAATGCCAGTCCTTCACAAAGTGGTATTAACAGCTACTTGCTACAGTTCAGTTTTATCATTTCCATTAATGATGCTTGCTTATGCACACTATTAACATGTCTTGATGTAAACCCATTCAATATAAATAATGGACTTCTTATCAACAGACATTGTTGAAAGTGCAAGAGCTGATAATATTTTTCCATTATGAAGTAAGTCCAACAGGTCATTCACATGCACTAAGTGGACTGAGCACAAAAGGCCACGAACTAAGAACTTGACAGAATACATGCGACAAATTCACAAATATTATCCATCAGGCTCTAAAGCGTTAAGACAATCAAAACTTTGACAAAAAGTAAGTAAGAGAATCAGAAATGTAGTTTTACTGGTTCAAGGACCAGGATAAAGCCATACATTGCCTATTTTTCTCCAAGTTAATCAGAATTAAGACCTTAAATAGGAATAGAAGGGGGCTTTAATTTCTCAGCATTATAAAACAAATTGTACTATAGTTATGTGGTTTCTGGTCAACTATTTAGACTGTCCTCTTACCTTAACGTCCTCATCCAGCTTCATGATTTTCTTGATTCGAGCTAGAGGTAACTCCTGCACGCGAAAATCCTTCTGAAAATAATGGATGGGTGTTGTGTTAGGGACGCTGAATAGAGCATGAGAAAGTTCTCCTTTAAAGAACTTGTATGTGTGTATGTTTGAAATAACATAGAAACCATTAAATCTTAGTGTTGATTGGTCTGGTGTGTGTGTGTGCACTTTTGTTTTTAGAAGACAAAACGTACCACAGTCAAGTTCCTGATCTCTTCCATGACCCGAGGCCAGAAGGACTGCAGGGTTTGCTGGGCATCGCTGCCCCCGGCTCCGAACGCATCTGCGGACATCCTCTACTGTGCTGCATCAAGGAATGACAGGGGAGGAGAGAGGTCGAAGCACAAGGTTAAATATTAGAAAACACAAAAACAAAAGACATGATGTGATGATTCAGACACTCAAGACACATCATTGGTGAAGGACACATGAGACCAGGACACAGAATACAGTGTCAGTTCAAGCCAGGCCTGTGCTGCCCAGAGCTCTTCCCGTGTGTCAGAACCACATATCCCTTCACGGCCTATAATTATAATACAGTGAAATCTAAAATAGAGCCCCGACAGGCTTCTATTCCTGTTTTTGTGGGATGTTGACATGCCCAAGAACCCACCACCAGACTGGCTGCAAACACCCCCATTATGAATGGCTCTATCAACCTGAACACATCGCGGCAGCTCCTCTGCAAACACGAGCATGTCGTGTGAAACTCAACTGCTGCTGGTGAACCCGTGCACTGAGGACAACGCTGAAATGGCAGATCTAGGAGACGCATGTGCATTTGTGTCATAGAAAAAAAACTATCTTCTGACAACAACTGCATTCCAGTTTGTTGACAGATGCACATTTCAAAACACACACTGAAAGTTGTGAAGTGAAATAAAAGCAACTGTTACACACACACACACATGCATGTAGCCAGTGCTTCTACAAGGGGTCTGACGGTTTGAAAGAGGATCCAGCAGGTTACTATGGCATGCCAGGAATCTGCTGGGGGAATATTGGCCTGCCTGTCTGAGCATGCAGAGCTTGGAGTGTCTGGATCGCACTCTTTCACTCTCTCCCTTTTCTCCCTACCTCCGTGAAAAGATTTGGCAGAAGGGAGAAGAAAAAGAAACATGGAGGGGGGGACAGAACAAGAGATGAGTGTGTGGAGCTACTCAAGAGAGACGGGGTGTGTTTGTGCGTGTTGCTGAGGGAGGGGTAGTGCCATGTCCAGTTCAGCATTAATCCAGCACTAAGACAAAGTGCCAAAGGCTTTAACAGGGGGAGGTAAGAGACCGACGGGGCCGCAGTCAGACTGCTGTGCAAACTAGCTATGTGGGTCAAACAAGACAGAAAGAGGGAGACGCACGGAGAGAGAGAGAAAGAGAGAGACATGACAGAACAAAGAAAAAGAGTGTTAGGAGAACGGGGGGGTCTCCTCTTTATCTTCTCTTTCTTTTCTCACTCTGGGCCAACAAGCATGAATGGCTCCAGCTCTGGTCCAGCTGACAAGCCAATACAGAACGAGACAGAAACTCCATCACCCAAACTCCATCTCGTGTCTCCCCTGTTACAGCGGCGTTGGAGGGGATTGTTTTGACTGTGGGTCCGCGTCAGCCCCTTTATTCATACCACTTAGGGTAAAGCTGTAAATATTTTACACAGATAAATCACTAATTCAGAATGCAGGGCCTTTACCTGATTGATTTTTGACAGGAAACATTGCTTATCCAGCAGTTGTGGAAGTTACTGAATAATATAGAAGAAGCACTGCCCGCATCCTGTTCTGTCATACAGTTTTCGACAGAGAGTAGCCTAAATCAATGAGACAGAATGGCAGCGGGGGTGGGGGGGTTTGGCTTTATATAAATCAATCAGGCCGCTTGTAGCTATGGCATGCCAGGCTAGTGATTGACCTTGACAATGTCTCCCCTTCTCTGTCTGACGCTCCAGTGTCCAGTTGCATTTCAAGGTTGATTGAAAATCCTGCAGTCACTAGAACAATCCCAGCATTCCACGGTGAGGGAATGACCGATGGGAATTGTAGTTTTTCCTCTTCTGTCCGATGGGTGAACTGACCCACGCCAGCTTTTTTTTTTTTTTTTCGTTACCATGACCATGCAAATAGGGTGAACGAAATAAGAGCAATGAGAGCCACTTGTTTTTCCAGCTAAATAGCATTTCCGCACCCCTATCAGCATTTGATCTTGTGATCATTTTGAACAAGACGACCTTGTGTATCTGTGTGTATCGCTGTGTGTCAGCTTGTGTGGTTCTCTACAACTGGTAGCCTGATAAGAAACAATAATTAGGCAATTCACTTAACAGCGTTACAGACAACCATCAGGCTAATTACCATGGTAACAACGCAGTGGCCCAGAGGAAACAGAGGAGGATAGGGGAGTTAAAATAGCAAATGACTCAATTGATAAATAGCTAAATAAGACATGCAGGCCATGCCAGCTTACACTCTCACACTGATGCATTTTCTTTTAAAACAACTCAGAGACCGCTGTTATTAAATCACACATACACCGGACCCAACCCCCTCTCTGACCCTGTGACCTTCAATCTTAACACACAGCGTATTTACTAACCACAGCAGCAGAAGGGAAGTAAATATGTAAGAAGAAATGAGAAAGCAAGTGTGGCTAGAGTCAGCCTGTAGCCAGAGAGGGGGGGAAAAAAAGAAGAAACTGAGCAACATATGTGAGAGAGAAGAGAAGGGCTGAGTATCAACACGCCCTTGAGCGCTGCTCTACCAGCTAGCTAGTGTATTCTACCTACAGTATACCAATATTACCATATTTCCCATGGCTTTGCATCAATGGAAAGTTTGCGTGGGAGCCCGTCTATGTCTGACACACACAAGTGCACATAATGTCCTCTGCTGACTTCTGCAACACCTTCTATGGTCTGGGTCTAGACTAGTCAAACAAACACTCTGAGTCGGGCTATCCACTGCACAAAGAAAATCAATTTTGAAACTCCCCGAAAGCTAATAAATGTCAACGTTATAAAAGTTGTAAAAGGTCTGGAGGTTGATGCAGACAACTAGAGAAAGCCAGTGTCAAGATGGCTTATTTTATCTGCAGTGGTAAGTACTATTCACTGCTGTATTTCAGCTCTCTAATCTACAGTACGCTTTGAAGACTATTTAAATGGAAGCCTGTACTAAAGAATTTGTTAGTTGAGTTCACGCCCTAATACTTATGGTCAGCATTGTTAGTTGCTCTAAATAGTCTACAGATGTTGTGAATGTAGTGTGCTTTTATATGAGTGCAATCTGGAGATTACTGTGCATCATTGTGTTGTAATGAACCTGCCCAGCTCCTCTCAGCTGTGTTGTTCTAAGCTACTGTATGCTATATTAGGGGACACTGTGTTTTATGCGCTATGCATCCCTCCTCTCCTCTTCCCTGCGGTTTTGTTGTCCTTCATCGGGTCATCGAGAGAAGCCGGTGGTGTTGGGTTTCCTACGAACTCTGCTCTGCTGCTGTGGTGTGTTGCTGTGTGTGTGTGTGCTTGTGTGCTGTGGTGTGTGGTGGTGTTGTGCTGTGTTGTGGTGTGTGTGTGTGTGTGCGTCTCTTTGAGAACAAATGTGATGTCTGCGCTTTGTCGACATTGTCCAACACAGCAACTTGTTCTTCCTCCTTTAGCAGCTCCACATCTCTCTTCCTGTCTCTTCTTCAGTACTTCCCATCTCTCTCTGTCACTCGTGGCTGTGGGTGTCTCTCTTGCTCTGTCTTACTTACTTTCACCTGATCCCCCTCTTCCAACTTCTCTGAGAAAGTCAATGCTGCTCCGCTTGCAGCAGCTGAATCAGCGCTAATGTTGTTCAGCCAGCCCCATCCTGCATCTCTCCTCTCTCCTTCTCCTTCTCCGTCTCATCCCTCCCTCCCTCCCTCCCTCGCTCGCTCACTGGCACGTCACATCAAGTGGCCACTCACAGGAGCAACACCGACTCGCTCCAACTCTGACATCACACCACTTTACAAGAGCCTTCGATTCCTGTCCAAATAATCCTGATAGCAGTGCAGGCAGAAAAGGCAGAAGACCGGAAAAAGAACAACAAGATAGTATCACTTAGCCATATGCCAATTCATTTGCTCTTTAAGATTAGCGAGGGAGCAAGGAAAGGGCAAAAAGGCAAAGTAGAGATTTCAGCGTCAAACTCTGCACAGAGGCTTTACTGTAAAAGTGTGTACAGCTGAAGAAATTAGTTATTTGATTTTTTTTAAGAAAAAAGGTTCTTCAGTTAATGACCTGAACATTGATGTAAATTGAGTATAGTTGCTAGGTAATGAGGCAAGGCAGATTAAGGCAACCTGAAGGCCTATTTGAGGATGAGGAGGGAACTTTTCCCTGTGGTGTTTCAGTATCACATTGTCATCGTGCTGAAGAAGAACTCATCTCATCCCAGTTCTTTCCCTGAAGCAGAGCTGACACTTCACATTGAAGCAGATGTGCGCTGAGAGGACTTGACCCCGACGGAAACAAAGAGGCACATACTGTACTACACTAATGTGTAAATGTGTGGCAAAGAAACATCACCAAATGAAAACAGTTAGTACAGTCAGAATCCAGATCACTTGTATACATATACACACTTAATAATTATGCCATGTTTTTTTAGCATACAGTTCAGATAATCCCAGATATTTTTTAAACTAGCTTAATTTTTTACAGTGCCTTTAGCAAATAACAAGGACATGGGTAAACAGTGTATAGATGTATCATTTCTTCCCCCCATACAATGACCTTAAATAACCTTCCACATTGTACACTTCATGGTTATCAACAGTTAAAACATCAGGCTGTACAAAGTGCAAACACGTGCCCACATAGACTGGTTGCCACTATGTTTTTCTGTAAGTGATGAAATCGACCGAAAGACTTATTTCATTGTACGATAGTGCCAACTATGGGATGAGTGTTGCTACACTGATGTGTCTTTTCCACACGTTGCTGTGTGAAAGTGTCAATGATGTGGAACAGGCGCTTCAGCAGGAAGGTCACCAAGGTTAACGTGTGCTAGGTTTTTAACTGGCCTTCTAAAACAGAAAAAACAACTGTTTGCACAACATATGCTACGTTGCTATAAAACTAGATATATCACTGGACCACTGAGAATCTCGTAATGTTTAACACTCACTGTGTCATTTTTATTCTGATTTACTATAACCAAATAGATGGAATAAACACAGGTATGCTAGGTAACATGTCATTCTCATAAACATTCATTTTATATGATGGTCATAAATCAACGGTGTATTTACAAATTCTGAGCTATTAAAGTGTTCACCACCTCAATGAACCCAATCACAAATACCAAACAGAAACAAGCTGGCATGGTTACAGCATGCAGGGTAAATGATCTACCCAGGCAAAACAAAAAAACAAGAAGTTCCCAGCCAGGAATTACAGATTAACTACTGAGACACCACAACATGTTCACAGATGTTGGTGCGCAAATGTTGGGTTTTTTTTAGAAAAAAAATTGAAATAAAGAAAAAGACAGAGTTACTATGACCGTCATGCTCCCTGTGACCTGCAGTGCAACATCCCTTTGGCGCGGCCGGACCCAACCAGCCAACCTATTGGCCGTGCAAACTTTGCCCTTGGTTCTGCTTCAAGCCAACTCCAGGAAGTGCTAGTCACTGATCTCCCAAGGTCATTCAACAGAGGAGAGAGAGAGAAACCAGAGAGGGAGGAGGGAGAGAGAGAGGGAGAGAGAGAGATGAAAGAGAGAAGGGGAGGGAGAAGGGGGAGGATCGAAAAAGGACAGGTTTTTCAACTTTCACTGCAGCACTTAAGTGACCCCAGTGGTTGGGGCTGTGTACTTTCTAAGAAAGCTTAATAAAAACATCACATACTGTACATATTAGCAATGTTCTGTATCCTCCTTCCAGTTTCGCTTCCTCTGGGTCCTCTCATCTCCCTCTACATGTTTCCTTCTCGTTGCTGACGGAGAGACTGCGGGAGCCAATCTCACATTCCTGTGACCTTCATCCAATGCTAGGCCCAGTCTCTGGCGTCAAAGTAGGCAGGGCTAAAGCTACCTGCATATTACATGCTGGAACACAGCTGACTCCCCCTGGCAGCCCACACTCTCTCTTTAGTGACAGTGTACACATGTAAAAACACAGGGGGGGAGGGGACCGGGGGGGGCAAGGGCAAAAGAGTGAACGCTCGGCGGTAGTGGTCACCTTAGTGATAAGCTGAAAGGCCTAGCTATGTCTAAGTGGCTTGCGTGTTTCGTTTACTCTTTCCTTCCCCCGGTGTGGTACAGTACGGGGCACAAATGATATTCAAATCTCATGCAGACAGCAGCCAACCCTGGGATTTGGCAGCAAGGGCTTCAACTTAAGAGTTATTTTTAGTCTCCCTCTCTCAATCTCCCGCACACTGTCTCTCTCTCTCCCTCTCTCTCTTTCCCCAACGGGACTTGGTTTTGTCAAAGGCACCAATGGAAACTTTCAATTACGGAGCAAGGGAGGGGAGAGAAAGGGAGTCAGAGGCAAGTGAGAGAAGAGGCGCCCTCCAAAGATTCCATCAGAAGAGATCAGATCAAACTATTAGCCTCCTCTGCCCCTGAAGCTGACAGGCTGACAGTCTGTCCCATCTGGGCGTCTGGCGTTGTCGGGGCGGGGGCCTGGGGGGTCCTGAGGTCACTGCAACCAGCTGCACCTCCACCCCAGGGGACCCCCGACACAAACAGTGACAACAACGCTAAGAGATATCCTCTCAGAGTCCTCCGTACAGCAAATCTCCTTTCAACATGGATGCCATCTTTGCCTCTCAGCTCTGCGTCACTGTCTGGCGCTAGCGTGTAAACAAGGACGTCCGGGGGAAAGCAGGGTCCGGACCAACGCTGTGAGCCACCCTGGCCCCCCAGGATAACAACACCACCAAGAGTGAAGCACATCTGAGCACGGGGTCCGGCTGCCATGCACTTACAGGCAGTGGATGGCAGCGCACTGAGTGAGTGCTGAAGTCAGAGTGCATGGTGGTTCAAAGTCACAGCACAACAAGTGACAACCAAAGACAGACAGGCAGACTTCACGCCTTCAAAAATATATCTAACAAACAAACACGAACAAATATCTTCTTCTTTTTTTTAAACTACAGTCCATTCTGCAAAAAGCATAAACGTTGCACTGGTGTGACAACCGAAGGACATGGATGAGAGACGCGCGCACACACACTAAACGCACAACTCCAATGTTCCAAGGAGAGTACTACAGAACAGGAAGGGGAGGGGGACTGAGGACGGCTGTAAAGGACAGACAGTCTCATCACTGCAGAGCGTGATGGAGAGAGAGAGAGACAGA